TAAAGCAAGGCACAGCAACAGACCACATTGCAAATGTTGGGAATACATTATATTCTGAGTCTTCCTCCAGTTGACTGAAGACAGTACTTACTCGTGTGAGAAAGGCTTCCAGAGAGAGTGGGAAATCGGAGCAAGCCCTGGAGTGGGAGTTTGAATACTTGAGTTACAATCTCAAAAGTGCCATCTCCCCATTGGATGGTTTAGGGAAAAAATAGCAATAATTAGTCTGTACAGTTTCTGGGAGTTGCACTATTTATAAAGTGCTTTAACAAACAGCACAGGAAGTCACTTTAACAGATGTGGCACTTCTGTTATGCACTGGGAGGTATGCTAGTCGTATTGGCCTGTGCTATTTCACCTTATCATTTTAGTGACTCTAAAAGGAGTGTCTTCATCCATAATTATTTTGGTTAATACAAGGACTTTTCACAGAGATTAAGTGAAAAGTTATACAGCCAATAAGTGACTATTTGAGGATTTGAACCCTCATGTCTGTCTAATTTCAAAATTGACCCAACTGGGCTCCCTGGGCACAGGTATAGGGATATCAGACATAGCAAATAAAAATATGATATCCAGTTATATTTTCATTTCAGATAAACAACATTTTTTGTTAGTATAAGTGTATCTAAAACATCACTTGTACTGTAAAATACTTGTTATTTTATCACAAATGAAAACTTAACTGGGAGTCATGCATTTTATCTGGTAACCCCCTAACTTAGGAGTCTCACGTCACATGAGCAGGTGAGAAGTGGCATCTCAGAGCCTTTCCAGAGGCCCCAAAGGTTGTTTTCAAGGGAATGTGTCCTTCAGAAAGAGTAAGCAGTCCCTTCCATGATTGAAGTGGTGAGCCTTTTAGAGAAACACAGGGAAAGGAAATCTCTAGAGGCGATTTAGGATGTGTTTTCTAGATTAATTTCATATAGATCAAGATACTCTGAAGGGGTGCAGAGCACGATTTCCACATCACAATTGACAGTGACCTGTACCAAGGGCAGACAACCTTGGCTGGGTAAACTTGGGTTCACCAAGAAGCTGTCACCCTGAACTCTCATAGGTTGTACTTGGAAGCCAAGGTGAAGACCTGATCCGGGAGCCAATACTTGTTGGGCAGCCACCATGTTGGCACTTTGTTTATGGCATCTCATTTAGTATCATGCCAGTGCTGTGAGGTATGATAACCCCATTTGCTGACAGATAGAGAAGTTAAGGCCACAGCTCATGAGTGGTAGAGCTGAACTTGATGCAGTTCTGTTTGAACCTTATGCCAGCATTAGGCTGGAGAGTTGATGATTGAGACTTTACAGATATTGAGTAGTCCTGTGTAACAGTTCAAGTTCTTTTTATAGTCATGCTACCTGAGTGTCCTCCTATCTGTCCATCTGCACCTCTCATGACTCATTCTTCAAGGCCCGTCTCAAGCCCTGTGTCCAGTATGACTGCTTCCTACCAATCACGGTATTTGGTTAGGGAGCCTGATCTCCCAAGTATCAATCTTACCCTTACTCAGAGCATATGTATTTCGAATTTGGAGAAATAACGATTCTTTTATCAAGCTGGTAGCAGCTGTGGCCATTGAAATTCAAAGACTTTCATCCTTTGCTATTTAATGGCATTGATTTGCCGGGTTTTCCCTTCTCACCCACTCATAGTTCAGTTATCTGAGTGAAAAGACCGAGCTAGAGCTATAAAAATATGATTGCATTGCTGCTCTAAGTTCCCAAACTCAGATGGTTATAACCTGATGCGGGACATTCCAATTTTAACCATCTACTGCTGTTTTTATTTCATAAAGCCACTAAAAACATCCTGCGCTGCTTTTATATACATCACTACTTTTATGGCTTTTGTGTCATAATAAAAGGCAGTTCATTAGAAGCTTAGGGTTTTCTTTCTTTCTTTTTTTTCCCCAGTAGAAAAATAGCCAAGTTGGAATAAGACATTTCTGCCTAGTTTCTCTGCCTTCTAACTCTGGCCCATGCAATCAGTCTGGCCACCTGGAGGACAGTGGACTATGTTTCCCAAAAAGCTGTTTATAGGGCGTTGCCCCATTCAACCTTCAAAGGCTCCCTACCACATCCATTCATTGGAAGGTCGTTCATCCTAAGCCTGGCATTTAAAGATGTCCAGGGCCTGGCCTCAAAACTCACCCGTATGAAACAAAACATAGTTTGCTCTCCACCTTCTTGAGTACTTGCGATTTTATACTCCGTGTTCCTTCCCCACCATGTCTGGGGAGCCCTTTTGCCCTGGTTCTTTCCATCAGTTTAATTCTTACTTAAAAATAGAAACCCAGCTTTTCTAGGAATTCCTCCCTAGGATTTCTCCCTCTCCTACTAACCCTTGTCAGAGCTTACTGCCTCCTCTTTTCTTTCAACACAACCAATTCTCCCCAGTTGTGTGGTTTTGGTTGTTGCTGTGAGTTCTCACCTGTGGGACTCATCTAGGTCCAAAGTTCCCTTAAATGAGGAAATAGGTCTTCTTTATCGGGCACTGGGCTGATGGTGCACATTGCAGTGATACGGTAGAGAAGGCAACGATGCTAGGAGGAAACTCATTGGCTCCCTCCTTTTCCAGAGGTTAGCTGACTTGGCCACAGTCACATGGAAGTTCATGGCAGCTCCCCTGAAGCCCACTGCAGTGCACCTTCCAAGAACGAGGAAGAGAGGACTGGCTGGCTACATGCGTGCAGTGTAAGTAGGCATCTGTCAAACTCTTGATTCAAGGAGGGGGTAAAGCCTGATAATAGAGAAATGATAACTAATATATCTAGTTGGTAGAGGTGGAAGTTACTCTCTAGTCCCACTAGACTCAGTAAAAGATAAGCCACTAAGACCTTGGCAGAGCAGCCAGACAGGTTCTCGGGAAAAGACATGAGGTCTCCAGGCGACATTAGAACCAACCAGTTAGAAAGGTACATGTTTAACCAGGGACTTGGACTCCGCTGCTTTGTCCTCCTGCCCAGCTGATTCTCACCCTCCTACTTCAGGGTATTTGCCACTCAGACCCCAAATCCACTTACAGTCAGCTTATATCAAGGACTGATATAATGAGTGACATTTACGGTGAGGTGTCTGTTAGTTACCAATATTTCTATCACCGTGGAATCTCAGAAAATCACCTATCTAGGTGATTTTGGACAAACTCTCTCACATGGATAGATGACTATCCAGACTCTGATAATCATAAATATCTAGTGACAGAACTGATAACCAGCCCAGGAAGCACTTATAATTTTCAGACAGTTCTGATTCCTAGGAAGTCCTTCATCTAATAAGGTTAGTCGCCTTGTTCAGTTCATGTCAACAAACATATTGGATGGTGTGGTTGACACAATGCCACACACGGAGATTTTATGGAAAGACATGGCCCCTTGACCTCAAGGCACTTTCCATCTAGGTAAAATCTCACTCCATGTAGCTCCCTCCTCCCGTTATATCTTGTATCAAACTGAACATTTTGACTATCATTGAATAATCAGTCCTACAGGAATCTAAAAACAATTTTCCTTCCCCATGAGAATCTCTCCTCTTAGCTAACCATCACAGTGCCTTCCAGTTCTTGCTAAAATGCCATTACCTGAGTTCCTCCACATTCCTGGTCACCCCCACTTTTGACTGCCTCTACCTCTTGGGAGTAGACATGTTACAAACAAAAGAGCCCTGTGAACTCAGCCCTTGATTTGGATGGAAACTCTCCAGTCCAACAGCCCTTTATTATAGATCATACACTGTGAGGTGAATTAGGACCAAAGCCTTACCAGTAATCCCCAGCACTGAATATCAATAAAGTCATCATTAACCTAGAGAGCCTAAAATCCCACTTCTATAGTGGGTGCCTCTCCATCTCCAAAACGGTCTGTTGCTGAGTGCTACAACTTCAGGTGCCCTTGACCTTAACACTGGAGTCCCCCCCACACACACATCCTCAACATGGGTTTCACGCATGCTCATCTGGCTTGGCCTGTTCTGAAAATTCCCATTGCCCCATAAGGCCTCTGATGTGTCAGAACGTCTAGAGGGAATGTCATTTTGGTCCAAATGTAGGCTCTTTCTCAGCCACATAGCTCAAGCGACAGTGTCCCTGTGATAGGTGACTGTAGCCTTTAATGGGAAAATGTAATACTTGTTAATCTTGCATTCTATACGTGCAAATAGGGGAAAGGCTGGAGAAAACTGTGTGCTCACCTGGTAGCAACACTAGGAGTCAGAATGCTTCGTGCACCAACAGACTGCACTCAGTATGGCTCTGAGCTTGGTTATGTAACAGGAGGATAAATAAGGTACATTCTGTCAGATACGCTCCAGTGAGAGTGTGAGAGCAGTTATCTGCCCCCCTGTTTAAGAAATACCATGGCATTTAAGTGTTAACAGGAGAGCAGAAGTATGTAGGAGCAGCTGGTATCCCCGAGACCAGCCTCATGTTGGGGTTTCTCATGCCTGTGCCTTTGCCACCATCATGGACCCCTTGAAGTCCTGCGACATACCCGGTGTAGACACTGGCTCCTTCTCTTCGTGTGGTACCAGTCAAACAAAGGTGGATCATTGAGGTAAGCTTTTATTAAAAAATCACAATATCAAACTTAGAACTTGAGCTCTGCAGTCAGGCTGATCTCAAGTTTAAATTTTGGCTTGGCCAACTTTTATTTCTGCAATCTTAGGCAAGTCATGTCACCTTTCCGTATCAAAACTTTTTCATATTAAAGGTAAGAGTTATAGTACTGACCACATGGGGCTGTTGTAAGGATTTGGTGAGAAGAGAACAGCCTGGGTGCTATTGGCTCTAACTGTACAGAGCAGTAAGCTTGCGACTGTGTAAGGCCTGCTCCAGTTTCCCCGTAACTGTCATCATCCAGGCACCAAACTCCCAAGAACACACCTCACAACCCAGACCCCAAAAATGACAGTCATTTCACACTTTTCTCCAAAGTAGTGAATGTGTTATTTCATCTGTCTCCTTAAAATTTGAAAGCCGATGCAGATGTTCTTGACTTCTCTGCTAACTGTTGGATTTAGGGTCAGAAGACCTGGTTGTGAATTCTGTCTCCTCCACTTATTACCAGCGGGATCTGAAGCACCTGGCTTCACCTCTGAAAAGAAGAACAATGATGTGTCGATGACAGTGGGACAAGGACATCTACCTCACTGGCTCTTAGGAGGATGGTATGAGCTATTATGTGCTCATGGTTACAATGTTTAAACTGTAAACTCCCAGTAGCCTTATTACTTATGACTGGGGGGAGAAGCGGCTCAAGGTCACTCACATTTAGACCGCGGGTGTCATACTGGGATGAAGCTCTAGACCAGATCTGAGAAAAAAACACATTGATCGTTATCATATATGCCTTCGACCTCAGCGTTCCATGCCGGCTGTGTAAGGAAACCACAGCGAAGAAGACAGAGGCAAGGCCCTCGCTGTTCGTAGCTTAGTCAAGTAGAACGACCTTAACAATACTCTCGTTTTAAAGCTTCCTTGGAAGCATGAGGTTATGGAAGCTCAGAGTGACTACATAGCTTATCACCCAGGGAGAGGAGAAAAGCTGGAACCTAGGCTCAAAATTTACAGATCCCCAAGCTAATGCTTCAAGTTACATGTAACTGTCTGGCATAAATAAGTCACTTTCATGCAGGGCACGCAGCCTGAGGCTCCCGGATCACAAGACCTGAGGCTTCAGGTTTCGTGGTCTCAAACACATCCTAAACTGGGGTTCACAGGTTTTACCTGAGAGATTGTTACAAATGTAAGATCTCTGATCATATCCTGCATTTTGAAAAGATATTCAGATTATTCACTATATGAACACTAAAATTTGAGAAGTACAGGTTTGGGTTATTTCATGTCTGACCCAGAGAAGCTCATCAGCCCTGTTTTCAGATAATGATGTGATGGTGGCTCTAAATTGAAATGGAGTAGGCCCGACTCTTTTTAAAAAATGGAGGAACTGCCTCACGCTGTTCTTATATTTCATTGTCAACCATCAAGAATCACTCCATTAATTAACTTGGACAACAAAATTACTTTAAATTACTGAATGCAGGTTTATTCTGGTGCTTAAACACCAGCAGTGCCAGGAACAATAACTTCCTGAAAGCTTCTTATTGCCACACACAGGAAGTTGTTCTTAAAGAAGAAAAAAAAAAAACCCAGCCCTGATATAATTGCTTTTCATTTGCACTCATGCAGGAAGTCGCCAAATGTTTGCACTCACCCATTCTATTTAAAAAGTTACTTCCTGGTCATAATTAAAATATATGATGGCCGCTCCATTAGCCATGTCATGACACTGTTCAGGCATTGAGAATTTCCCAGCTAAAGCCCACCATAGGTAGATCTCATCCCCATTGAAGCCGGGAACGGCTTTATGCACACATCATGTGTTTACAGAAACAGGCAGGCACGAGCACACCTATGGCAGGTGCGAAGAATTGTCCAAGCTGGAATTCTGTTACCAATCCCTCAACTCTGAGCCCAAGCCTGTTTCTGTCTTTTCAAAACTATATGAACATTTCTTTGATTGAGGGAAAGATTGGAAGTTGAGAAAAAAGTTCATTCTAGCCCTGTGTATTTACCTAGCTCCCTCCTATGCTTTATATCTGCCTGCCTTATCAGTGCTATTTTAAAAGAAAAAAAAAACCCAGCATGGGACATACCTATTACCATCATTTTACATGTAAATTCTGTACATGGTAGCTGACGCTTGGCATGAAGGGCTGTTCGCTCCTTTGAGTAACTTCTGATGCCTGCCCATATCAACAAGCAGGGAGCTTCTAGTTTAGTCTGTGGAGGACCCGGGAACCACCCAGAAACCCTGCGGGCTTCTGGAGTCGGTCTACTCCAGCGAATCATCCTTTTCTTCTGAGCTGGAAACACCTGTTGCTATGCACCAAGGTACAAGGGAGGAGGGAAATGCCTAGGGTCACACAAAGGCAAACAAGGGACGCTAATGACTGAATTGTCTAATGGCACTAGTGACTAATACAAGTGGCACTTCCTTATAGCAACCCAAATACTCATTTTTATAGCACTTCACCCAATTTTGACCATAACCACCCCAAAAGATGGGCGCATCTGACACCTTTAATTCCGTTTTACAGAAAAACAATAGCTTGAGGCTCAGAGGGAGAGAACGGACTTGTTGCCCATGAAGCTGCCTACTCAGTGCTTTCTGAGAAGCCCTAGTTCTGAACGAGCCCATCCTTGGGAACATGTCTGACCTCAAGAAGCACATGGAACCCACCTGCTCACCCTGCATTCCAGATCCCTCGCGGCTGGCTGTGCTGAAGGTAGGTCTTCAGGAAATGGTGTTTCTTGTGACACAGCCATGGTGCATGGAACACAATTATTTAAGGTGTAAAATTGATCTTCTAGGCTCTGGGCCTCTCTCTCACCTTTTAAACTCACACACATGCAGCCTACTTGACCACTAATGCACTGGGAGGCCTTCAAAGCAAACCCCCCGTAAATGGAAGTTGCTCTTTAATTATTCAGAAGTATAACAAAACCCACCCTCAATCCCCAGGTCTAAGTCACCCCAGGGCCCCAGGTCAGGCATTTACTCCTAAGTCACTGCCACTGGATAAGAATAATGTCAGATGCCCAGGTTTCTCCCACAGCCAACCCAGGGCTAAACCCATCCCTCAGGGGTCTGTTCCTCTGTCTGTTGCATGCCAGGACGACAAGGGTTTTCAACTGGTACTGTGAGGCCAGGGAATTGCCCCGAACACATATACACTCACATGGTCCCATACTCAGAGTAAATCAGTCTATTTTAGAAGCAGACTAGGAACGAAAGAGCTTTAAGCTACTGTTCATACCGCTACTATACAATCAAAAGGATAAACCTGTTTGCCCTACTGCTTTCAACCAGTGACCCTAGGCGTTTCGGCGCACCCTTCTTTATTCATTCCCTTTGTTTTGAGCACTTAGTTTCTACTACCGTATTTGCCGGCGTATAAGACGATTTTTTGGCCCTGAAAAATATGCCTCCAAGTGGGGGGTGGTCTTATACGCCAGGTACACTTCAGATAGACTGCCCATAGTGCTTGCCCCGTGCCATAGTGGCCTCCCGATGCCCGCCCACTTCATTCCACATACCGTTCATTATAAATTAAAATGTTGAAATCAAATCTGATATTGTTTTACCTTTTATTTGGTGTGTGGAAGGTGTGCGGAAGAGGGGGTAGTCTTATACAGCGAGTATATAACAAACTCTGTATTTTGAGTGGAAATGTTAGGGGGTCGTCTTATACGCCGGCAAATACGGTAAGTCTGACCTGGGCACCGGGGTGACGGAGATGAACATCAGCAGCCCCTTCCCTGAAAGAGACAAACTACACCAACCTCTTGGGTGAGACATGAAAAATATATAGCGGGGGGCAGCCCAGGTTACTAGGGGCCCAGCCTCAGAGAGAGGCTCCACTGCCATCTGCACGTCACAGATGAAGACACTGTGGTGATTATGGACTTTGCTCAAACACAGCTAGACTGGCTACTACGGTCTGAAATTTGTGTCCTCCCAAAATTCATATGTTGAAATCCTAATGCCCCGTGTGATGGTATCATTGGGGGAGGGCTTTGGGAGGTGCTTAGGTCACGAGGGTGGAGGCTGCATGAATGGGATTAACGCCTTTATGAAAGAGGGTCCAGTAAGGTCCCTAGCCGCTTCCACCACGTGAGGACGCTGCAAGAAGGTGCAAGATCTGAGCCAGGAAAGGGGTCCCTTGCAGAAGGAAAGCATGCTGGCACCTTGATCTTGGACTTCTCAGCCTGCAGAGCTATAAGCAGTACATTTCTGTTGTTTGTAAGCCACTGGGTCGGTGGTATTTTGTTACAGCAGCCCAGACAGACTAAGACAGTGGCCCATGCCCTGACCATGCCAACATCCCACTGTGAAGACAGAGCCATGGAATATTATAGGGAGGAGGGTGCCAAATGGAGATGGATAAAGGTGAAGTCGAGTCTGGGTAGGAGGCTCCCCCTGAAAGGTGATACCTGGGGTCAGTGATGAAACATGAGCAGGGATTTGTCAAGGAAAGGGAGGTGGGAAGAGCTTACAGCAGAGAGAAATCTGCAGCATGTTCAGAGGGAGGGTGGAGGCGGGAGGAGCAGGAAGAGAGGCCAAAGCAGTCTCAGGGAGGGATCTGCTCAGCTATTAAGGCAGTGATGTGGCGGGGCGTGGGGGGCCAGGTCCCACACCTGCCACACACAGCACACACCCTGAGCAGGCCACACAGCCAGAAACTTCCCAAGGTGGGAGAATATTTTTTGTTCCAATGTTGGAGCTAAAGGGTTTGGAAAGAACATTCCATGGAGGCATGTGGGCCAAAAGATGGAGACCTCTCTGCAGTATCAGGCTGCCTCGGGGCCTGGATGACCAGGAGAAGGTGCTGAACGGCAGAAACCCACCTGCCCCGGAGCGAGGGCCCAGCTCCAGCAGTCCTGGGTGAGGCCTGCACCTCAGGACGCACCCCCAGCACACTCCTCTCCTGGTAGTAAAACACAGACCAAACTGCATGCCCGTGTGTTCTGGAAATGCAAGTTCTTTGCACAATGTGTCTGTAACGCGCTCTAAGAGAGCATGAAAAAGCAGGCTGACAGTTTGGGGTCATGGGCACCACCCCTGGGGGGAGGTGTAGGCAGTCAGATGTGGGAAGACGGAGGAAGAGGTGGGGTCCCGGGGAGGCATGGGGATGGGCGTTTCCCCCGCAGGATGACCATCAGACTGCTGCTTTGGGAAAGCGAGCCAGGGGGCAGGTATAGAGCAGGGGATAGACCTGTCCGGGTTCTGGAGGAGCTGAGACAAAGTTACAAACTGAGAACCAGTAAGGAGAAGAGCAAGCATGGGGATCAGAGGCATAGCGGCAGCCAAGTCACCAGAGTCATTCTGATGGAAATAGAGAAGGCCCAAGAAATGAGGGCATGGTGCCTACAGATTCCATCTTCCAGGCCACTTAGTGGGCTGTGTCCTCCATGCCAGAAACTGCCGCGCCTAGAGTGAGCCCCTTTCTAACACTGGGGAGCCCCACACTCATGCCTTCTCTGTCGAGCCCTCCAGCTCCACAGGTGGGCTCTGACAATGCTGAGCCTTGCCAGTCCCACCTCCCCAGGAGGGCGGCACTGCACTCTGCATACCACAACGCCCCGGGTCCTCGGTCGGAGCAGGGCCCGTGATGGGGCAACGTGTGCCTGCAGCCATGTGAACGCCGACTCGGCCCCGCAACGTTGAGCCCACCCTGGGTGGGGATGCTATTCTAGATGTAGCCAATCTCCCCCATTAACAGCAAAATGTATACCCTCATCTGTACCCCCCCTTCCTGCCTGGGACTCCAAATATATGACTGGGTGGGCTCCCCATGTCCTAGACCCAAATCAACCTCCCCTCCCCTACCTGCCGGCCCCTCAGGAGGCTCCCACAGGCCTCACGATGAACAGGTGTGGGTAGTCCCAATGTATCTACCTCCCCACTTCCGCCCCCACTTCTATCACATAGCATGTCATCCTGCCTTTTAACTTGTGTCACTGATAGGAGTTTGCACTTCCTGAGAACCTCATTCTCATCACTGATGGTGCTATCCATCTGTCACTGCCAACAGAAGTCAGATTCTCTTTCTGTGACAATTTTTAGAGACCCCCTCCATCCCGCAGATTGGGAATTCTTTCCATAGGAGGTCAGTTCATGAGACCTGGAGACCAAGGCTAGGCAGCTGCCTCCCGAAGCTGGGTGGGAAGAGAAGGAGCTAACAGAGGAAGGAGACAGACTAGAAGAGTGGTACATGCCCCCATACGGAGTGAGACATACTGGTTTAAATTCCGCCTCTAACATGTATTGTCATAGGACTCTCACTAGCTTTCTTGGGAATAACAACATCAAGAGAGCTACTTCAGTAAGCTCTTATCATGATGCGTGATGACCTACTATGCATGCAGCCTGATGGGAGCACTGTGTAAACACTGACTCCCCTGTGAGCTTGTGTCATCCCTGGGAACCAGGGACTATTCCCACTTCGCAGACGAGGGGAGTAAGGCAGATGAGTGAGCACGTGGCGACAACACCAGAGCCACTAATCGGACCTTGGTCTGGACATCTCCAAAGCCCACAGCCTGTCTCCACCCCACAGTGTTCTCTTTGTGTCTCTCGCCCATAGTGGGAGGAAAAGTCAAGTATAATTTCTAAATCTTGAGCTTGGAAAGTCAGGCCAAGAAGTGCAACAAATATAGTACACACGACATATCTGGTGGGAAGCTAAAAAATGTCAAGTTTTGAAACCATGAAGTATTTTCCTTCTGTTTCCTCAAATCAGTACAAGCCCATCTGCGTGTGGTTTTCCTAAGGCAACGTGCTGAGAACAAGTTCCATCTAGGTCTGTCCCGCTGCCTTAAGCCTCCCGTGACACCAACTGAAGCAGCGTAGAGAACACAAGGGTTAGAAAACTGGTAACGGCCTTGTGGTAGATTTCATAAGCCCTGGCAACTCCTTGAACCCCGCTCCTAAATACCCAGCCTGATTGCAGACCTCCCTGCTTCACTTAATAAGAAGTACTGCCTTCATTTCTCCACTGGGGGAAAAAAATGGAGATCAATCAGGAAAATAAGGAAGTCCCCAGGACAACACGGTCCAAGTTTCTTTGAGAGCTGTGTGTGACTAGTATCAGGAAATGGAGAGAAGGGTGCACGGTCAGCACTCTCTATACATTTCTGCATTCATCTTCACAGTGCTGCTGTGGTTCCCATTTCACAGATGAGGCTCAGCCAGGTAGAACAGAGTCTTATAATCAGTAACGACTAGAAACCAAAGAACACTCACTTGGGCAAACACAGACACATGAGTAGCTAGTGTGAACTAAGGCAGTTGAACTACAGAACACTGGAGTAGTAATAGACTCCTTAGAAAAAATGTAAACCAATTTTCCCATTTCAAAGACATAGAAACTGAGTCTCAGGCAAAAAGACATGTCCTGTAATTGTTTACATAATATGATGAGTCTTTGGACTTACCTGGTTAGGCTCATATTTACTCACACTTCCAATTACACATCATTTCTTAAGCTCCCTGAGAACTAGTTACCTGTAGTAGACGCCTATCTGCCTAGATCCTCT